CGAGGGGCCCTCGCGTTGGATCTTTTTGTTGGATCTTTCAGGTCCTACTCCTTCAACTTCTACTCCTTCAGCTCCGACTCCTCCCGCTCCTACTGCCTCAACTTATACCTCTTCGGCTCCTGCTCATCCTACATGGACCACTTCAACTCCTATTCCTTAAACTTATTGGCGCTGGACCTATACGTTGGATCGTTAAGTTGGATATTTCCGTTAGTTCTTCACGTTGGATCTTCACGTTGGATCTTTACGTGGGGCCATTGCGCTGGATCCTCCAGCTCCAATTACTTCGGCTGCGTTGCATTGTGCTGTGCTTGTGTTTTGCCGCGTTGCATTTTGCCGCAACGCACGCTGCTGCGCTTGATCCTCCTGCGTTGGATGTTGCCGCATTGCATCGTAGCTCGTTGCGAAGCATCGCTTTGCATTCCCTGTCGTGTACTTGCTGTCTTGCGCGATGAGGAAAGGCCCGGCCCTTGCCTTTCTACGTATTGGCGTTTGACTTGTACTTTGATTTTGTCGTTGGGATTTTACGCTGGATCTTGACAGTGGATCTGGGCGCTAAATCCTCCCACCCCAATTCCTTCGGCCCCCACTCCTTCGAATCCATCTCCTTCACTTCCAAATCCATCTCCCTCTTCCCATCAACGCATGTGCGTTGGACATTTACATTCGAATTTTACAATTGATTTTTACGTCGGGTCGTTTCGTTGGACCCTTCAACTCCTACTCCTTCGGCTCGTGCTCCTTCAACTCCCACTCCTTCAACTCACACTCCTTCGGCCCCGTGCCCCTCAACATTTCCACGTTGGATTTCTACGTTGGCTTAGTGCATTGGATCTTTACGTTGGGCCCCTACGCTGGATTCTTCAAGTCCTACCCCCTCGGCCCCTACTCCTTCAACATCTACTTCGGCCCCTGTTCCTGCAGCCCCCACCCTTCAGCGCGTGCTCGTTGAAGTTTCACGCTGGGTATTTACACCGAATGTTTACGTTGGATCTTCACGTTGGATCCTTACGTTGGACCCTTCAACTCATGCTACTTCGGCCCCATACTCCTTCCTCTCCTACTCCTTCAACTCCCACTCCTTCGGCGCCTGCCCTCCGGCGCATGCGCGTTGAATTTGTACGTTGGGCTTTTGCGTTGGATTTCAGGTTGGGTCTGCACGTTGGACCCTTCAACTCCCACTCCTTCGGATCCTACTCCTTCGACTCCTACTCCTTGAATTGCTATTCCTTCGGCCCCTGCCCTTCAGCGAATGCGCGTCTGACTTTTACCCTGGACTCTTACATTGAATCTTTGCGTTGGACCTTTGCATTGGATCGTTCAACTCCTGCTCCCTCAGCGCTCGCTCCACCGACCCCGACTCGTTCCACTCCTGCTCCTTCGACTCCATCTCCGTCGACTCATCGACGTTGGATTGCGTCTTGGATCCCCGCGCTGGATCCTGCAACTCCAACTCCTTCGGACCCTACTCCTCCAACTCCTGCCATTTCAAATCCTGCCCCCCCCTTCGGCCCCCGCCCCTCCGGAGTCGCAGGGGCGGGGGCCGACGGGGCGGGGGCCGAAGGGGTGGGGGCCGAGGGGGCAGGAACCGAAAGGGTAGGGGCCGAATGAGCAGGGGCCGAAGGGGCAGGGGCCGAAGGAGTAGGAGCCGAAGAAGTAGGGGCCGAAGGAATAGGGGCCGGAGGAGCAGGGGCCGAAGGAGCACCGAAGCAGTAGGAGCTGAAGGATCCAACGTAAAGATTCAAAATGAAGAAATGGAAAGAGACGGAGCCGAAAGAATAGGGGCCGGAAGAGTAGGAGTTGGAGGATCCAACGCAAGGATCCAACGTGAATTCGTCGACGGAGTAGGGGCAAAAGGAGCGGGATCCGAAGGCGTAGTTGAAGGAGTAGGAACCGAAGGAGCAGGAGGTGAAGGAGCAGGGGCCGAAAGGGATAGGGGCCGAAGAGATATAAACTGAAAGGTCCAACGTAAAGACCCGACGTAAAGATCCAACGTAAAAATCCGACGTGCAAATCCAACGCATCAAACGTGAAAATCAAACTTAAAGATCAAACACGCACATCCAACGCAATAGGTTGAAGGTGCGGGGGCCGAAAAAGTTGGAGTTCAAAGGGAAGGGGTCGAAGGAGGAGTCGAAGAAGAAACAATTGAATGAGTTGGGGTTGGAGGAGCGAGAGTAAAAGGAGTGGGAGTTGCAGGAGTAGGAGTTGAAAGGGTAAGAGTTGAAGGCGTCGGAGTTGAAGGGGTAGGAGTTGAACGGGTAGGAGTCGAAGGAGTAGGAGTTGACGGGGTAGGAGTGGAAGGAGTAGGAGTTGAAAGGGGTAGAAGTCGAAGGAGTAGAAGTTCGAGGAGTAGGAGCCGAAGGAGCAGGGACCGAAAGAAAATGGGCCGCAGTTGGGTCTTCACGTGGGTCTTTATGATAGATCTTTACGTTGGGTGATCTTTACTTTGGATCTCTACGTTTGATCTCTGCGTTGGATCTTTACGCTTAAACCTTTAATTTGGATATTTACGTTGGGTCTTTACGTGGATCTTTTCGTTGTAACTTTACGTTTGACCTTTCCTTTGGAAATACCGTGCACTCTGCAATCCGGTCGAATGCATCTGTGTAATTCTTACCGTGCACCTACGACTTCAACACTGCGCATTTGCGGATTACCGTGCTCCCCGGGAACCTGAAACCACGCAGATGTGGGAGTCCTCGCTGAGGTTTCTGCGAGACTTTGGTGGACGTTCTGGGGCCGATTAAGAACCCTGCGGGCCTTCTTCACCGCCCTCTTAGCGTGTCTATCCTCATGTGGGGAGCCGCCTGCAGCGCTCTTGACCCATCCTGGGCGCCTCTTGGGCAAGTTTGGCGCCGCCCTGGGGCGCGTTTGGGCCCCCGTGCACGCCTCGTGCGCCGTCTCCGAGCGTCGGGAAGCGGAGCGGGCGACCGCGCGAAAAGCAATGAAATACCGATGGGGAAGAACTGATGTTTGCCTATCGGGGCTGCTGTGGAGAATCAGTTAGAGCCCTCTTGGACCGTCTTGGACGCCTCGTGGGCCGCATCGGAACATGGCGGGCGTGCCAGGGCAGGTTTGGAGCCCCGTGGGCGTCCGTGACCACCCTTGTGGCCTGTCTAAGCTCAGTTGGGGAGCCACCTGGAGCCCTCTGTGACGATGTTGGGCGCCTCGTGGGCCGTCTTGGCGCCCTCTTGGGGTGTCTTGGAACCCTGTTCGGCGCCTCTTGTGCCGTCTCCGCGCGTCGGGCAGCGGAGCAGGCGACCACACGAAAATCCTTGGAACACACACGGGACATGAGCAATGTTCGCCCCTGAAGCTTGTCTCGGGGATGATCTTGGAGCCCTCCTAGTGCGCCTCGGAGGCTCCCTGAGCCCGCATCGGAGCAATGATGATGCGCGTGCTGGGGCCGTTTGGGGGCCCTGAAGGCCTCGCTGAGGGCCCTTGTGGCGTGTCTGAGCTCACGTGGGGCGCCGCTCGGAGCCCTCTGAGGCGATTCTAAGTGCCGTTTGGGCCGTTTTGGCGCCCTCCTGGGGTGTCTTAGAGCCTTTTAGGGCGCATCTTGTACCGTCTCCGGGCGTCGGGCAGCGGAGCAGGCGAGCACGCGAAATCTCTGAACAACCTGAGGGCAATTAATGATTTCTCTCGGGGATTAGCTTGCCGCCCTCGTGCGCCTCGGAGGCTGCCTGAGCCTGCATCGGAGCAATGATGGGCGTGCTGGGGCCGTTTTGGAACCTTGTGGGCCTCGTTTACGGCCCCTGCAACGTGTCCGAACTCATTTAGGGGGCCGCCCAGGAGCCTCTGCGGCGATTTCGGGCGCCTCTTGGGCCGTCTTGGCGCCCTCTTCGGGTGTCTTAAGACCTTCTTGGGCGCCTCTTGTGCCGTCTCTGGGCACACACGAAAATCTGTGAACAACCGTAAGAAAATCAGTGATTTTCGCCCTGAAGGTGCGACAAAAACGAATAATGTGATAACAACAATCGGTTTCCGAAGAGAATGGGTCGATTTTGGCCTCGTAGTGCCCTCTTAAGAATCCTGTTGGGTCTTCTCCAGACCACCTTGGGCCGTCTCGGAGCGCTCTTGGGCCTCTGTTGGGGCGTGCTGGAGGCCTCTTGGGCGGTCTGGGGACTATCCTGGGCTCTCTTGGAGCGCTCTCGGGCGGTCCGGGAGCCTCGCGGGCTCCAAAAACCCGCCCGGAGGGAAACCACGAATATACAAAAACTAACCCGACCCCCCCAAACCGAGATCTCTCGCTCTCTCTTTCTTTCTCTTTCTTTCTCTCCCTCTCTCTCTCTCTCTCCCACACACATATGTATGACTATGACTATGATTATGCATGTGTATGTGCATATGTATATGTATACGCACATGTTGTCGCAACTGTAGATGGTTATGTATAGGGAAATGCATGTGTGTATGTGTACCCATATATATGTATGTATATGTATATATGTATATATGTGTGTACGTATATATGTATGTATGTATGTATGTATGCATGCATGCATGTATGTATGTATGTATGTGTGTGTATGTATGTATGTATGTATGTATGTATGTATGTATGTATGTATGTATGTGTGTATGTATGTATGTATGTATGTATGTGTGTGTATAGATTTGTGTACATTGTTACGTATATGTGTATGTAGGTGTGTGTATGTATACGTGGGAATGCACATGTACATGTATGTGTGTAGGTGCATGTATTTGTATATGTGTATGTATGTGTATATGCATGTGTAGGTGTATGCGTGTGTAATTACCCGCATGTTATTGCAAGTGCATAGGTATGTTATTACGTATGTGTAGATGTATGAGTATGAGTAGATGTAAAACTATGGGTGCATGTACATATATTGGCAGATGTAAGGGTATGCGTAAATGTACACATACGTATATACATGTGTAGATATGTGTGTAACTGTATACGTACGTGTGTATGTGAATATCTATATTTGTATATACATATGCATATGCATGCACATCTGTACCGCCCTCTCCCATCTCTCGCACAATGTCTTTCCGTCTCTCACTTCCCCTCGCTGTTTGCATACTACATTGGACCCTTTTCTTTGTTTCCCCGCGCCGAGGCTAAGACTTTGAGACCTTGGGCCCCAGCCACAACCAAAAACGATCCGAGTGCGAGGAGCGCCGTCACGGTGGCGGGGCTGGCGCCGACGCCACGGTCCGCAGGACGATGTCCACCAGAAGCGGCTCGCGGCGGTGGACGTTTAGGTCCTGGGGACGGGAGGCCCGCGAGAGCGGCAGGCCGAAGCGTCTGGGAGGGAACAGCGAGGACGGCGCCGTCGACGACCACTTCCTCCTCATCTTCCTTTTCTTTTTCCTGCTCCTCCTCCTCTTCATTCGCGCGAGCTCCCACGCACGCCGCCCTCCTAATCCTTCTACTCACACGTTACAACTCAGCAAGGATGTCGACGGGTCAGGCCTCCCAAACAATGCCTGAAACGAAAGACCGATCCTCGGCAGAGGAGGGGAAGCAGCTTGGGGGGAGGAGATGAGGAGAAGAGGGCGAAGAGGAGGAGGAAATAGATGAGGAAAACTAGACCTATCAGACGGAGGAGGGGGAGCGGCGGCAGCATCAGCAGCAGCAACAGAAGGCGGTCCATGGACACGCGCTATGCAGCCATGCCCGGTGTGTGTGTGTGTGCTCAGCTATTGCTGGACACATGCGCGCGTACTGGCGGCGAAAAGCAGGCAGCGGGAGAAGGGTCCTGCTGCCTCGCCTCCTCCGCGGGAAACGGCCTCTGTTCCGGGTAGTACCAGCCCAGTGCCGGCGGCACGACCAGCCTTGGAAGAAGGCAAAACCTACACAAACATAAACTATCGGGGGTCCGCGCAGATGTTCCGGACTAGCGCTGGACCCTCCTTCTTGGCGTGCGGAGCGCGCCGGGGGCAGCGCCAGGCGCCGCCAGGGGGTCCACCGCCGATCCGAGAAGTCGGCACGGACCTCCCAGAGCCTGTGCTTAATGCAATTTGTTCTTCTTCGACGGCCTGCGACCGCCGCCCTCGCGCATGCCCACCACGCCCTCACGGAACGCCTCCACCACGTCGTCGCGCATGCCAACGCCGCGGATGCCCAGGATCAGCCGCTTGGGCGTGAAACGCAGCTCCTCGCCGGCGGTCAGCGCACTCGTGAAGCCCCGGGAGGCGTCGATGAGCCTGCCGCTGGCGCGGCGGATGCTCCACCCCACCGCGACTTCGACACCCTCGTCGCAGCAGCGGCTGCCCGAACCCTCCTTGCAAGAGCGGGGCTGGTCGAGACAGCGGCAACCCTCCCTGGCGCTTTCGGTGCTTCTCGTCGCCACGGCCAAATCCGCTTGGAAAATTGGGGATCCCAGAATCGTGTGGTGGCGGACCGCGCGATGACCTCGAAATCCCAAGAGACCTCACCGCGCGCTGTCTTGGGACCCCGGAGGCCCCAGCCGCCCGAGACACCCTCGGAGACAACCCGAGTCCCTAAACAGTGCGATGGCCACGAATCCCCACCGACTCACCCACCACACGATGTGGTGGTCACCACACCGCTTGAAGGCCCCCGAGGAAAAGCGGGCTAGGACGGACGCCTCAGGAGGGGTCCAGGGGACCGATCTTGAAGCAGGCGGGGAGAGCCGCCGCTGTCTCAGCTGGCCCTCCCCCAGCCCTCCAGGCAATGCCAAGGGGGTCACCACTAAGCGGGTCGCCACCTCCTTCGGGAGATGACCGCCCTGGGCCCCCAGATCCCCCGAAGTCGCCCAGAAGCGTCCACAACCTCCACGATCTTTGATCGTCCCTCCTCATCCCCCTCCTCCTACTCCCCCCCCTCCCCGACCATCGGTTTCCAGGGGGAGGTGCACCCCCCCGCAACCCTGCAAGAGATCCTTAGTGTCAAGGAAGTAGAGGCCGCTCGGTGTTCCCGTGAAGCTGCTCTCGTTGGCTCCGAGCCTCTCGATCGCCCGCCAAGCCTCGGGCGGCACCGCCCGCCCCCTGCTCTTCCATGCGTCCGGGTTGTACCCGTAGGGCCGGGGGTTCTCGGCGCGGGCGCCGCCGTGCCTTTTCCGGGGTGCGCCGGAGAGGGGAGTGCCAGGAAGAGGGGGACTGGTGCGTCGGGGCCCGAGGCGCGTGAGAAGACGAGGGGAGGCCAGGGGACATGCTGAACCAGTAGGAAGCAGAAGGACAGCGATACGAAAAAAATAATGGCAACAAAAACGAGAGACACGAGAAGAAGAGCGCACGTGCCTTGGGCGAATGGCTCCGCCCAGGGCCAGGAAGGGACGCGTCGATAAATCTTCCTTCCTCAGATGAACTTTCGTGGCCCCGTGCCGGGCAGCGCCAGATCGCATTGGATGCGCTTTTCACTGAAAAGAGAATGCGCGCAGAATCCACCGCGGACGCCGGCAAAGGAAGACAGCCCATGGAATCCCGCAAAACTAGCGCCCGCGTTCCGCTTGCACTCCAACGGGAGAACAAACCAAAACATCATCAGCGAACTGGGAAGTTCGCCTGTATTGCGGCGCGGACAGTTGTACACTCAACGAGGGCAGCGGAATGATAGCCGCCTGATGGAGCAGAACCAGGGGCTACAGAAGTAAAGCCGCCAACTGGATGTCACGAAAGAAGGGCAATACGAGAGAAGGTCATTTTGAGTCCGGAAAGATGTCCCCAGGAAGGGGATGCCTGCCAATACACCGCCTGTTCTTTCGAACCATACTGGCTCACGAAACATCGATGGAAACGGCCGGCCGCCAACGAGAAACCACCCAGGCGCCTGGTGAACTCTTGACGCCTCGCGTACCCCCACCAGCCCATCCAAAAACAATCACCAAGCGAGTTGCCCTGATCAGGGATGCGACGTAGTAGCATGCGGCGCAGTAGTGAGCCGCATCCGTCCTCTCGGATTCGAAGAAGGATGAGGAAGCGGACTAGGGGAGAAGAGGGGGGATGATGAAGAGGAACCTGAGCAAAAGGATGAAGAGGAGAAAGGCGGACAGGAGGAAAAGGAAACGTGCCAGAGCATGAAGAGGTCGGACGGGGGAAGAGGAGCTTGAGGATGTAGGAAGAAGTACGAGGAGCCAGGGGGAGGCAACAGGCGCACCGGTGATTCGCGCGGATCACCGATGCGCCGTGCGCCCTGGCAAACAGGGACGTAGGAAGAGGTGGGAAGAGGTAGGAGGAGTAGGAGGAGGTAGGAGGAACAGGAGGGGGCAAGACCAGGCAGGAGGAGGCAGCTGCAGACACGATGCCCAGGCAAGTTTCGTTAATCAGGGAAGTGTAACAACACGCAGCGCAATAGATAAAGGGGAGACCCGTTACACTGGAAAAGGTGCAGAGGACGCAGGAGGAAAAACGGAAGATGCACAGGAGCGGCGAGGGAGAACAGGAAGGACGAGACGGAGGAAGGGGGGAGGAGGAGGACGAGGAGCAGGACGAGGAGGGATGGGAGAGGAAGGAGGGCACGACGACGACAGGAATCAATGGTCGAGGCCTTTGCGGGTCTTGTACTCTGAATGCCTATTGGAAGCCCCTGGGGGTCATCTCGGGGCCACCTTGGGGCCCTCTTGGGGCCGTGTTGGGATCCTTTGAGGTCCTCTCGGGGCTCCCCTGAGGACCTCTCGGGGCCCTCCTGAAGGTCTCTTGGGCCCCTCTTGGAGGCACTTGAGGTCCTGTCGAGGCCATCTTGGCAGTCGTCGGTCAAGGAAGGGGGAGGTCCCTGACAGGGGCCCCCCGCGCTCTTGAGCCCCCAAAGTCGCCTCTTGGGGTGGGGCCCTCTTGGGGCGCTCTTGGGGCCGTCTTGGGCCCCTCTGAAGGCCCTCTTAGGCCAGCTTGGCGCCATCTTGAGGCCTCAAGAGCCCATGGGAAGCGAAACGGCGAGAAGGCAGAACATGTTGAAGCACGCAATGGTCTTGAAGGATTCGGGCCTCTTGGAGGCCTCCTTGGAGAGGTCGAGGGGCAAATGTGGCCGTCCTGGGGAGGTCTTGAGTGCTTTTGGAGGTATGTTGGAAGCTCTATTGAACCATCCGCCTTGGGATATCTACAGCGATCTTGGAAGCCTTCCCGGGCATCTTGAGGCCCTATTGGAGCCATCTTGAGCCGAATTGGGCTCTGCAACGACACGCGGCCACTCCCCGTCCAGAGAGGGGCTATGGGGGAAGGGAAACCCTTCCCCTAAAGGGGAAGAAGGGGGGTGGAAGAACGAACTCATCAAACCACTCACGCCCTGAAGGGCTGGCGGGATTCCTGTCTCATTCTGTTCTTCTTCCGCGGCGTGCCCCCCCCTAACCCCCCCCCCTCCAGGCTCCCCGCGAGGCCTAATGAAAACTTCGGGGGGGGGGGGGATAATCTCGGCCCGAATACCTCCACGAAAACTTGTTGGATTTTTCCCTTGGCGCGCGCATCGAAAAAGTCTCGGGGCCCAGTCGCTGCCGCGATGCATCTGCGCCGACTGCGATGCGTCGAAATGAGCAGCGACCGCACGTTGAGGCACGGATGCGGAGCTGCCCTGACTCGCAGCAGTCTCGCCCGCAACCTTGGGCCCAGTGGGCCCCCCGCGCGGGGGAAGCATTTCCACGATCGGCCCACCCTCTACGAGGGGCATTCCCTCGGAGCGAGCGCTCGCGATGCGTGGCCGAAGATGGACGGGCGTTTCGGCGCTCGGGGCCCGCCTCATGTTTTGCCCATCGTCAGCGCCCTTGCGCGTTGGCGAAGATGGCGAGGGCGAGTCCGCCATGCCCGCTGGTTGATCTGAGTTCAGCGTTGTCTCGAGCGGGTCGCCCTCCCGGCAAGCGCCCTGACTTGCGGCGCCCTCGCCGGCGTCCTGGCCGCCAGCGGAGTCTCCGTGGGAACTGCCAGCAACGTGGCCTGTCACATCGAACCACAGCCCCCTCGAGATGCTTTTCGATCGCCCCCCCGTCGAAACTGAACGCCCAGCTCGCCCGGCATCCTCGCCGACGTAAGCAGCGTTCAAGTCATGCTGATAATTCTTGAGACGATCACCCTCAGGGAGTTGGTCCCAATCGAATTCGATGGCCAAGATATGTTCTTCGGTGCTGGGTATGCATTGATTAAGGCTGTCCGCCAGGCCACAGGGGCCTCCCCCGTGGTTGGGGCGCCTCGGTGTAGCAAAATGGTTCGGGCTTCGCGATGGGCGATCGATGGAACGCATTGGGCGGTAGTTCTGGCGCGTCGTGCAGCCGCGCGTGCAATACTTTCCCCGGCAGACACTGATCTCCCGCTTCTCGGCGCGTGCATCTGTCTTACTGTCGGATCGGCGGTCGGAAGCCTTCTGCGCGCTGCCCGCGCCGGGGTCTCTGATGGCACGTTCTACAGATTACCAGCGCCGAATACACGCCACCGACCAGCCTCGGCCCGGGCGACGGCGCAGGCCCCCCTCGGGCACCTCCATGCTGCGACCGCGACTGTCGTGAGCGAAAGAACCCTTGCCCTCGCGCGCGCGTCCTTTACCGGCGGCGAATATCACGCCTCGGCCTCGGATGGATCCCCCGCCCAGGGCCGGGCCGACGGCGGAAGTCCGGCCCCCGGGCGGCGGCCAAGTCGTCAGCGGGAAGACCGATAATAACAAGTGGCGGCTCAAGGGCGCGCCCGCCCAGCGCGCATCCGAGTTGGAATTGTGCCAGCTTTCTACAGTGGCAAGGGGCGCGGACTCTTCGGGCGCGCGGCCAGATCCGAACTCAATATCGCCGTCGCAATCGGCGCGCGCGCAGCCGTGCACGGGGTACCCGGACCAATCCTCAAAAGGCCCGGGCTCCACGAAAATCTAGCAGAAGCCCTCGTGCAGCGTGCGTGAAGTCTGCGCGCGTCTCGACGGCCAGGGCAGCATCGGCGAACCTAGGCGTCGACAGATGTGCGCCGCGCGATGTGTTTGATGCGTCTAAATCTGGAAAATCAAACTACTCTAGATTTTCGTCGTAATGTTCTGAGCCAAGACGTACGGAGTCATCTCCCTATCCTTTCCCGTTCGCGCACTGCGCCTGGAAATGGCAGTTACCGACGCAGTCGTTGCACGTCAATATCCGAATGTTTTGTCCATCTTGCGCCCCTTGCCCCCTCCAGTGGCGCGCCCGCGGCCCTGGCCTGTCCCGCCGAGAGACAGTTCCGCAGAGTCGTGAGCGGCAAGATTAGCCGGGAACGCGGCCATCCCCGCCCGCGCAAACCGCGAGTGCGCCTGCCACCCTCGCCGCGCCCATTGCCCTTTCGATGGGGTGCCCGTCGCGCTGCCCGTCTAAACCTCCTAACTGACTTTTTTCATGTGCCACTCCCGGCGACGTCTAGCATGGCGCCGTGCTGCTTGATCGTCGCCGTCGAGCAAGTCTGAAAAATCAATCTCAGCAAGACCTGTGCTTGAGACGGTGTCCGCGTCGGCTCCTGGGTCGACGGGTGAGTTGGGGTGCTGACCTGATGAGCGCCAAATGGTGGTCGCAGCTGGCGGTGCGGAACTGGCAGCAGCTGCAGCTGGTCTTTGGCTCCAGTAAATTGTCTTGGGGAATGGTTGCTTGTGCGTTGCCAGTTTCCCGGCCCATAAGCGACGTGGATTCGTTCGGCACTTGATCAGCCCAGACATTGCTACGCGCGGCCGCCGGCGCGTTGCTCACGTCCGCGTGGAACGCGCCGGCGCCGTATCCCCGACCACTGAAAACCCCGCCAATGTTCCCAGGAGCGCATTCAGCTAAATTTCCGCAACTGCGCATTCGCTCCAACAACAAGTCGCATTGTTGCTGGTTCCAGGACATCTTGTGGTTGAAGGGTTGCAACAGCTGTGAGACTTGGGAGGTACCTATTCCCAAGGCTCGAAACAGCAGGAACGTCAATATCTGGAAGTTCGGGATGTTGAATCCAGCCGAATCCGCTTCCAATCTGGCCATTTCGAAAGGTGCTAGCACCGAGTCGATGCGTTGACCTCGATCGACCCTAAGCTCGACGAGGGCTGTTCATTAGGTCAGCTGTCGCTCGTCCTCGAAATATTCACATGTTGTGCTGGGGAAGAGCACGATGCATGTAACACCGTCGGTGCGTTGACCCTGTTGGATTACGCCGTA